TTTTTTTTTTTTTTTTTTTTTTTTTTCCATATTCATTATGATAAGTCGACTCGTGGACACGTCGCACGAGGAAGGTGATCTATATATATATATAATATAGGCCGATCTAATATATATATATATATGTATGTACTCTGGGATAAGACGAGTCGAGCTTTCGGTATAAGGATACAGTGAGAACTATTGTTCTACCTTAGAGGTTACCCATTAAATTAATAAATATATAGAATGAAAAACAGTTTGTATATATGATAAGAAAATATGTTTATTTCGAAAATTCAACATTAAAGGCACGACATAGTTTCCCTTTGTATATCAGCTGTAGATGGTCTTCCACCGACCGCTGATTGTACGATGTGATCTCATCCGCACTCATCTTGATCATCTTGGGCAGGAATACATCAATATGACCAATATCGCCATCCTCGAGCGTGCACACAACCGCGGGTCCGAATTTTGTAGCAACCTCCGCAAATTTTACTATATGGTACTTCTCGCCCATGACGAGTTCACTCATGGATACGGTTCTCGTACTGCATTTTTTATTTAGAGCATTCAATAACGAGTCCATAGCCTATAATGAACATGATAAAATTATGAGTATATGAATTTCACACATAAATAATATATTATAATAAATATTAAATATATATAATTATATATTATTTATATATTATTATATATATTATGTCCGATTAGTTATCTATCAATATTTTATGATAACTCACTGTGTGAAACAAACGTCTGTCTTTAGCGGTGCGGACTGGTGTCGTGAGGCTGATGTCGGTGCTGGTGATGATATCGTCGGTACTGGTAGCTGGTGTTGGCAGCGGTAGTATACTTCAGGGATACGTTGTAGAGTGTGGTAAGAGAGTAGAGAACTGTTCAGTGAAGACGATTACTGCACACTGTTGTCGAACACATTGATACCATGGGTATTTAAGCTCGAGAAAATGTGCACCTCTTCTATTTCAGTACGTCGATTTTCACTAGTAATGTCATCAATTCTTTCCATAGTTTACTTAAGTATCGTCTAATAACTTCGATCTCGTCTCATTAAATCAGAGTCATCAGACGATACTTAATTTCGTTTGCGAAAACATTAATTATATTTTTATGACAAAAATAATGTAACTCATATTCATATCTACTCGATATATTATAGTGTGTGTATATGTATGTGTGTGTGTGTGTGTGTATGTGCCTGTGGTAAACAACTCATTAGAAACAATATTGACGAGGAAAAAGTGAAATTTGTTATTTACATGCAATTTATTTTTAAAGTATTATTACATAAGTGACATTTCTATAACACCTTGTTGTTATTAGATATATATGAGTTCTCTTTCAACCGAAAGTGATTAGGAAAAGACAATTTCCATTACATATTTAACGTATACATTTCATAGCTAGTAGATGGGGATAAATATATAGAATGAAAAACAGTTTGTATATATGATAAGAAAATATGTTTATTCAACTCATTAGAAACAATATTGACGAGGGGGGAAAAAGTGAAATTTGTTATTTACATACAATTTATTTTGAAAGCATTATCACATAAGTCTATAAAATACAATATCACTCGCGTAGCGCGTAATGACCGTACGCGCGCGTTCGTACTCGATCATCGCAAACAACACGTTTATCGTCGAAACGATTAAGAGTCATTTTCATGGTCTTAATCGTTTTAACACAGTGTTTGAACGATCGGATTGACGCATTTTCTCTATACGGTGTGTACGGTGTATACGGAGGAAGTGGTGTCGGGAAAAACGTTACGCCGGCAATGTTGGCGGCGGTGGCGGCGGCGGCATTCCCGTGTATCGTTTCGACGACCGATCGGGCCATCAGACGTGCACGACGTTTCATCTCCACGTCCTTCCACCCATCGTCGTCCCCGAAATCACCGTCGTCAAAATCGTCATCGTTAGTACCGAGCTCCTCGCTTTCGTCACCGTCACCGGTGCTCTCGTCCTCGAACAGACAGCGCTTGTGGTCTTCGAACGTCATGTGATTGCGAACCACATGCCCACGAATACCCTTGGCCACGAGTTTCTCATCCCCATCGATTTTGTACGCGTAAGATTTCGCGCGGAGTGCAATGAACTCGTACATAGTACGCCCGGCCGTTTCATCCTTGAACAACCCCGGTATTTTCTTACGCGTACCGACGTAGCAGGCATGTGTGACGGGGAGATTCGAGGTGTCCATCCGTTCGAGGAGCGTGGGGTTGTCCACCAGGTCCTTGTAGAAATCGTCCGTGTTCACTCGATACACCAGGGAATCTGGTTATAAATCACGTTATACGTTAGATATATGAGTGCGAATAATATTTATTATATCGAAAACTGACCTGTATCCATATACATCAGTCTAATCGAGTCGTTATAATGCCGCCGCATCACATTGTAATGATAGTCGTACATTAACTCCTTGCTTATTTCCAGGACGGCGAATCCTATATAAATAGGTTTGGAGAAATGTACGTCGCTCTTTTGCAATGATACGGCTGCCAGATTCTCATTGTACGAGGTTACGTGTTTGAACGTGGGCCTGTTGATTAGTTTCCGCATTCGACGTGGACACGAAACCAATTCCATGGAAATACGATTTCGAACGCATTCCATAGTTTTCCCTGCAAAGTCGAATAATAATAATAATAATAATAACATTATGTAGCACGATTAATGATTTTGGCGAGCTGTCTGAAATATTTACCGAACACCGCGTTATTGAGTAGTTTGAAAAAATCACGTTCGAATTCATTGCCGGCCTTCTTTCTCATCTCGGTATTTAAATTTATATATTTAGCAAGCCAAGCTGACTGTTGGAATTCCAACACCCTGTGAACCTATAATTTATCGAGTTAATATGTATATAGACAGCACACTTTTCACGTGATTTGATTCCGGTGAAAATATGTATTATAAATATATATATATATATTACTTTTTCCACTATCAGTCCATTAGCAATGGCTTGCTTTAAATTTCGATAGTGCACAATATATCGCTCTTTTCGTTCCAACGTGGCAAGTAATTTATTAACTTTCGAGCCCGGTGGTATGGCATTCCGGGGTAAGAAGGGCAGATCGTTGTGCGCGTCATGTAGGCTGTCTGGGTAAGCGATATCGACCTCGTAGATACGCCCAACGTCGGATTTTTCAGTCGTACCGTCCAGCAACTCCAGGGAGCGATTCAAATCCCCCTCGTACCACTTGAATCCCCCGTAGGGCATGTATTCTCCCATGGCGTACCCGTACAAGTTGTTACCTGTAACGATTCAAAATTAGTAATATAAGTAATTGAATAAATGACGTATATTTACAGTCCTGATAGACGAGCCATGACGGAGGCTTCGTGGCATCGTACCTCGGCGTTTTCGGGTTGTTGGCCCGACAGTATCGCTCACTTGCCTGAACCAACCCCCCTCTGATACCTTGTTCCACGAATAACACCATATCGTAATCCGTTAGTAATTCCAGTGAAACGCCCGTATACCTTAGCATAGCGTCGAACGTAAACCCCGGTGCCGTATAATAATACACGGGGTCGAGGTTGTACGTGGACATGCAGAGGTCTCGGAAGTTCTCCATCACGTCGGTCAGAAGTAGAACGTCCACCTTTAGGTATAGGTCGCTGTAGTCGCCGAGGGAAGCGCAGTTGAAATGGTTCCACACCTCAGTCGCGTGCACGTAGTCCTCATCACTAACGTGCCTCTCGTTCAACACGCTGTAGAACTCACGTTTCGGTGGCATGACGGTCTCCTCGAGTCTCGACCATTTGTCGGAATACTCGTACGGAAACACACCCTTTCGCGTGACTAGAGGCATGTCGGCGGGCTGGAACTCTTTGGCTGTCTCCCGGAACTTATCAAAGTCACCGGGCTTCGTAAGGAGGTTCCCGGCCAACTCGGCAAGGCTCGAGGCCATAAATCGATACGAATCCAAGAACCTCACGCTAAAATCGGATGTGACGCGTTTAGAGAACGAGATATAGTTCTCCTCAGTGTTGGGGATCACCGTTATCGACTCCTTATCGTAACCGAGTTCGGTTACGATAAAGTGCGCGTCATATTTTGACAGGTTGTGAAGGAAGCACGGTACAAACTTGGGTGTAACGAGTTTGAGGTTGCACGGCGCGCATAGCGTATGCCTCAACCGTCCCGACAGATGGCAGTGGTCGGCGACTTTGCACACGGCCTCGGTGAACGCTAACTTACACATATCGCACACACTTTTCGCGTTATGCACACGTATCTCGTCCACACTCATCGAAATCGGCACATTAGTCGCCTTCAGTAGGCCATCCAACTTGGCAGCGAGCGCAGTCACACTGGCGACAAAGTGTTTGGCCACCTCGTTACGCGAATCCGACCCGCGATAAACGACAGGCACCCGCGGTATTTCGTATTTATCCATCAATTCTACGGACACGTCTACCGACGTCTTGACAAAGTATCCGTAGCTCATTGGATGATGTACATGTATCCCGTCAGTACTCGCTCCCACCCGCTCCGCCTGTTTTTCGAGCAGAGCTTCAAAATCAGCGTATATCACAAACGGATGACGCTGCATTTTGGCCCACCCGTTAAACCTAAGCACTTCCCCCTCCTCCGGCATAACTGGTAATATTGGTTTATTCAGTCCGCATAGCCTCGTGTGTTGTTGGAGAGCCTCATTACCGCACAATTTATTTTTTTTGACCCGCTCATCGAATGAGGTGAAACATCTCTTGCATATAAAAAGCCTATTTTCATGAGAGGTTTTTTGGCTTCGCACCAGCCGTGAAAAATTAGAAATGTAGGTATAGTGCATCCGTTCCGAGCCTTCAATCACGAGAAGGTCGAAATGTTCCGCTTTATCGTTCTCGACAACTCTGATCGGGTACACTACGCTCGTCTTACCTACTTTCCTCCCCTCACCATCCTTCCCCTCCTTACCATCCTTACCCACCTTTCGCTCCTTACCGGGTTTCAACCCATACACGTTTACCGACAACCCCTTATTCCTTCGTTCGAATATATGGATTTCTGAAACAGGTGTCGGTGTGGATAGTTCGGAAAAATCGTACCGATGCTCTTCATTATAGTAATTTTGACCTACACGATTATGGTTGCCTACCGGAACGTGTTTAGCCAGAATAGCCCACTTGAAACAATAATCGTCAATATTCATCGGATTAATGACGGCTTTTTTCCGCGTGATGTTTTCCGGAAGTGGTATATACGAAGACCCTCCAAGAGGAGTATGTTCATAGACACCTAACAGTAAGCCATCGATACTGGATAGGGCAAAGCCCGACCCCTTTTTAATATACCTATCTTCCTCCGACATGAGTATCGCAAAGTCCTCATCAACCATAGTACTCACGTCACTGTGGATGTACGCCTCTCTCGACACGGTTTTAAAAGCTCTATCTTCAGCTGGTAATTCCCTATGCACATATACGGCCTCCAACTTCAGATTATATTTAATAGGGTTAACACGCACACAATAATTGATTTTTTCAATCAACTCGATTTTTATCGAGTCTAAAAACGCTGGATAACTCATACAGTTCTCGGTATTCCCCCTATAATACCATACAACGGTCCTATCAAGCGAAGAGTCGAGTTGGAAAAAACCCGGCGTATTAACCATACCTATGCGGGCTTTTTTCAACTTTACAATGTTACGCGCTGAGTTGGTTTTAGTACGTTTAACTGACGG